ATCTTCAACAATTGAAGTTTACCAGCAAAATGAAGAAAATTTGCATAATTACTTATACAATTGCACTTCCGTTTTTTTTTCAGTTGTTTTACAACCAAAAAAAAAAAAACAAGATTTAGGAAAAGAAATAACTGAAAAAGCATTAAACATTGAAAAACAGAGTTGTTGTTGTTGTTGTTTTTTTTTCCAATTTTTTTGTTCTTATATTTTTGAGCTTATTTGTAGTGATAAAAACAAAAAAAAAAAATAGAACCTATATACTGTTTGTAATTACTTTAGGTACATTTAAACATGAAATAATACAAATAATTCAAAAAAAAAAGGAAGAAAATACAATTATTACTATTATAAGTAGAAATAATACTTTTTTTTTTTTGTTGCTTTTAGCATAAGGTATTTTGTACTGTAAATAGCAGTTAAAAACCTATTTTTAAATGTAAATCAATTGAATTGAATATTAACAAGAAATAAATATATTGTATCTGTATTTTATTTCTCTGTATTACTGAGTTGTATAAACAACAGATTAAATGTACAACTTACATACAGCTTCAGCAACACCCTCAACAGAATTCAGATCTTTTTCAGCAGTTGGTTTCAGACTAAACATACGACTTGGACGAAAAGACAGTTGTCCTTCTTGATACCTAAAGAAAAAAAAAAAAACTCAGAAAAAAATGAAATTATATTGATTATATATTACTGAAAAAAAAAATAAAGTGTGTTAAATGTAAAAAAAAAAGAAGAAAAGAGGTGCAGAAAATGTTAAAAATCAGATGTAAATAATGACTACTAAAGAGGCTAATTAGTAGTGATCAGAAGTACCTTCGTTATAGCAGCATTTATATTTGTCACAGTTAAACACCTAACTTCTAAATCAGTTATGCACCTCAAATTACCTCCTAACCTCATTTATTTCTGCTTGTTTCTTCTCTTCTCTCTTTTTTTTTTTTCTTTATTAAATTTATAATCTCAGTTTTCTTGTCTGATATAATAATGGTTGTCTGATATAATAATAAACAGAAAAGACGGTGTAAATAAAAAAAAGAAAGATTAGAAGTCATAAGACAATAAACTTGCTACAATCTTTGATGCATTGAAAAAATAAGGTAGCATTCCTTCTTTTTTTTTTTAATTAGATTAAATTTAAATTATTTAAGTTTTTTATCAATAAACTTGAACGATTCTTTTCTTTTGAAAAAATTTTTTAAGAAACGAAGTTTAAAAGAAAAAAAAAAAATTTACATGAATTCATCAAAAATTAGTTTATTTGGAGCTGCAATTGAATTTTGGAGGTAATTCATAAGTTTCAGCAATTTTCCTGGTGTAATCTTTTCTGGTACTTTAACATACACTCGATTTCTGTCAACACCTCGAAGTTCCTGATCTCCTTTAACAATTTTATGCTCAACTTTATCCAACCCTAAAGAACAACAGTTTTAGAACAATAACAAATCAACAGTTTTCAATAACTTTAAACTAATTTTACTAAATGTTTAAAACTTTCTTAAAGTTGTACTCAAAAACCAATAAAAAAATTAAATTGTTGACGAAGGAAAATAGTTTTTGGTTGTTTTTTTTTTTTTTTTACTCACCTGTGTATCTTTCATCAACATGTTCGCGATCTTTTTTCAGCGGTAAAGATTCGTATTCAACAGGACTCAGCGGAACAGCTTCTTCTAAGTCACCAAGAAGCGTCACTAAAAAAATGATGTAAATTAACATATCACTTGTTAAAGCAATAATTTTAGCAGATAAAAATAAAACTGATAAAACACTGGATAACTACAGTTATACCAAAAACCTTGATGATATAACTGCCCATCAAAACATAGTTTAGTTTATTGCTTAACAAGATAAACACCTCTTTTTTGTGTTTTTTTTTACGTATCTTTAATCGTAAATGGTCTTTGTAGTACTATAAACTGAATATATACAAACAGCGGTGAACTTTGGTATAATAATCCTCAAAAAAAAAAATTTTTTTTCTTAGCATATTAATAGCACAAAAAACCCCGAAAACTAACGCTGTCGATTGTTTATCATATCTTTGAAGGTTTTTTTTGTATTTTCCACATTTTGATCCGCTGTTGGTTTACTGTCTTTAGTTTGCTGTTTGAATAACGGTATTTTCTTCTTGATCAATAAAACATCACCACTTTTTGGTTCGTCAGCATTTTCATAATCGTCTTCAGCAACATTTCTTGATGCTAAAAAAAAAAAGATTTATACTAATAATATTGCTTATACAATTTTAATTTCTTCTTTTTTCTGTTTTTTTTTTTTACTTACTACTAATGCTTTATAAATATTTTATTGTTTCCAAAAAAAGCTGCTATAGTCACCTTGTTTAGATAAAGAAAAATAGAGGAAGCAAAGTTTTACCAAATAGTGCTATTGGTTCACGAATTAACAGTGGTTGTCTATCGTCAATATAGTCGTATTGTGCAGGTATAATGACATCTTCATTGAACAAAGACAAATTTGGTTCCCCGTCAGACAAAATTTCCTATAAAAAAATAAGCATCACAGTCTTCAAGAATTATATAAATATGCAACAAATGCAATTATATAATTTCTAAAAAAAGAATTGTGCGACATAAAATAGTGTTAAAAAGTCAGTTTTTTCTTTTCTTTATTTACGTATAATTTGCAAATTTGTTTTGCCGCAAAACGTTGATCAATTGAACAGTTTTTTAGTGAAAACGATGTAATTAGGCATATTTGTCTACAGGTGCACGTGAGAAATAAGCTAAATACAACGACTACAAAACCGATAGCAGAAGCTAGTAGGGAATAAGTAGAGTTTTTTTAGTAAATTATTTACCTGAAGTAACGGTAGTGCATAGTCAAGATTTTGCTCATCACAGAATCCGGGTTTAAACGGTAACGACAATACAACGACAACTTTGAAATAGTTTAGTAGGCATTGTGTGCGTGCATGATGCCATTCATAACCGGCAGATTTTAGATTCGCCAATTCAGACTGAAGGACTTCAGCATGTTCCGTTTCCGGCTGCTCAAACAGCACCAAAACTGATGAATCGCTGTTACTACATTCACCGAACAGTCCATCTGAAAAAAAAAAAAAAAAAAAAAAAAAAAAAAAAAA